TCCACCGTCATTCTTAATATATTCCTGTGACTGTGCGGTTTGTAACCTTTCTGACATAGCGGTCAAACGATTGTCGTCTGCTTCATTTTGCTGACTGATTGCTTCCTGGTTCCAATGAGTCGCCAGAATATAGCGACCTTGACATGACTGACCTTTGATGACATTGACCCAGTGAAAAAAAGCCGTAGGACAAACTGCTGCAAGTACAGGTAGCGCATTACAATACCTTATTTACAGGTCATTATCTATTACACATCGACAGTAATATGCAATTTATTACAAAAACAAATGTCACGTTGGAAATCAATGTGATGACAAAAAGCAATCCGCTGTACGAAATGTGAATGGCGCGCAGATCTATAGATCGATACAATCATATTATAACAACATAGTATTACCTTATCTATTGTTTTAATTAGATTTATGCATGTTATTGATAATCAATATCATATAATCTGATGTTAATGATCGATCAATTGGGTTTTACGTGTCCAACACCTGTAACTCACCACTGCCTCAACATGTTAGCGCTATTACAGGTATATTGATCGATGGCATCCGGTTTTTTCTATATCTATATAGACCAATAGGCTACCTTTATAACACTTTTTATACGTCATGTTGATCACTCGCTGGCTCCTGTGGTCAACAATGTGTCCTTCCATGAAGGTCAAGCAATTACCTAGTCATCATAAATATAAAGAAAAAACCTGAGCTCTATTACATTTACCCCATTCTAACGCTTGTTGGCGATTACTCGATTTCATATTCAACCGGGATTTGACAAGTCATAACTCATTTAAGGTTTGAATCTTGCTTTGGTCGATTTCATGGGGTGATGAATTAGCAGTTCATGTTGAATTTGTTTCAAGACCAACTCAATTCATCCCCCCATGAAATCGACCAAAGCAAGATTCAATCCTTATATTTCATATATTTCAATCAACGTGTTTTTTCAATAATTGGAACTTGTGAAGTCCATTCTGATCGTTTGTCTAAGTATTGACGTAATGTAAATAGAATAGTCCGTCATTGAAGGACCACCATACAACATGATGGTATACGTTGATAGTTCAATACAGCCAAATTATGTAGAAACAAAACACAAAACCATGCGTCATCGCGGGAGAATAATATCTAGACGCGGTACACAAGCTCAGCTGCGAGTCTACGGCAGCCATCTTTTTACTAGCTCGAAGTGGAGAACCGCTAAATTACGAGGTTCTACATCTTCTGGAAATTGTGAATGTCGAATTAGATAGGAAACCAGACTTGGCTTGAAAGGACAAAATATTGTATATGGCATTTGGCTGTTCGACTGAATTTCATATAAGACGGGACCACATGGATCTACAACAGGGGTTCGTTACAAATGTCTGAAATACACATATGGGTCACAGCACACATAAACATACATTTATACACATATGCTATACTGATATGGGTCACAGCACACACACACATACATTTATATGCATGTTTATGTGTGCTGTATCATATCAGTTGTAGCATGATATGTGTATTTCAGACATTTGCGACGAACCCCTGTGGATCTACGTTGTTTTCGATGTGTACCGGGGTTTATACTTACACTAGGCAGAATGGGTAAGTGGAGGGAGAATTTCTAGGGCAGTACATGATTTGTCACTACCGCTAGCAACCGTGAGCTGATGATATTTTGCTGATTGATCGTTTTTGATTCAATAACAATGTGAAATTTCATCAAGTGGTATCATCAATAGTTATCTCCCCTCGCAAAATCATACGCACAGGCAATGTTAATCTTATCAAATTCATCGGCAAAATACCAAATACATCTGGTAGTTATATTGAGTCCAACTTGAGTAGGAACTGAATTATTTAAGTACAGTTTTGGGACCGCACAACGCACCAAAAATAGCGTGCGCACACCGTGCATACATCGTTCACACACCGTCTTTGTGCGCTTCTCACCGCACAACTGTGCGATTTGGTATCATTTGTAGATCAAAATTACGGAATGACAAAAATACGGAAGGCTTGTATGCGATAATGTCCACTGTGTATATATCTGTAATTTCTCATCACAATAATCAAGATTATACAATTTCACAATGCGTGTTACACACTGATAGTATTACAGCGACCGTTAGCTATATATAGACTGTCAAGAATGGGTTTGGCTCCAATTAAGGTAACAGAACAGGTAAATAACAATTTTATGAGTGTCCGGAGTTTTACCTGACCAGTTCTGACACACAGAGCTGATATGCGATACCGTTTGACCGTAATGAATAGTATTTGTTATTTGCATTCGTTTGCCTATAGCTCCCCTTCACCTGGATTTCCACACCCCGGCCTTACCGACGAGCTACGTAAGTGCCCCAGGCGGGAAGAAAACTACGGTCCAGGTACATGTACAAAGTGGTTATGTTTACCTGTATACGGGATTGTGTTGTAATTTTACATGCGTCGATTAAGTTTGTTTAAAAACACAGAAAACACAATTTCTAAACATATGAAGGTATAGACAGAAAGATAAGTTTATAGATGCTGCTAGAATATAGAAACATACGTAAACATCAAGTTTATATGTTTAAACGCGAAACAGTATAAATTGTTAAGGCATTCCTCAATTTACACCAACCACGATTTTTAGCGCACACCGTCATCGTGTGCACAGATGTGCGCAAGCACTGATTGTCCAGTTTTTTATCGTTCGCCCATCGTGCACACACCGTTCACACACCGTGCACACATCGTGCGCACACCGCATCTCGTGTAACGTTGTGCGATCCCACAACTGTATGATTGCTTACAATTGTAGTTGTCCAAGGACAATAATGTATAGTAACGTTTCCATCGGAACAAAAAATCATTTATCAACGACTAGAATATGTTTAATGTTTATATACAGTTATATACAGGAATGTATGCATAGACCACCATCGAAACGTTGTAAAGTGTTGTTTTTATTACATGTTGTCTCTTAGTGCAGATGGTCTCTTAGTGCAGGTGGTCTCTTAGTGCGGGTGGACTCTTAGTGCAGGTTGTCTCTTAGTGCAGATGGTCTCTTAGTGCAAGTGGTCTCTTAGTGCAGGTGGTCTCTAAGTGCAGGTGGTCTCTTAGTGCAGGTGGTCTCTTAGTGCAGGTGGTCTCTTAGTGAAGTGGTCTCTTAGTGCAGGTGGTCTCTTAGTGCAGGTGGTCTCTTAGTGCAGCTTATATAAAATAACTACAATGGAAAGTGTCATTATTGGCCTCTGAACACAGGTGGTCTCTTCATAAAGTTGGTCTCTAGAACAGGTTTCACGGTATAGACATATTGAAGTAATTATTTTACATACAACATTTTCCATTTAGACGGGAAAACGCGTTAATTTCACCAAAGCAAGTTATATCGTATATGTTTATATTATTTCTAAAAAGCGACGTTTAGATTTTCGACAAGACTGAGTTACCTCTGACGCTAAGAGTCGAACCTAAGTCGACATAATGTATATTGCATTTGGAATGCTGACTCTGACCGGGTTGATTACTTTGTGAGAGTTACCTCGCTTCATCATGTAACTTTCGCAGTTATTTTAGATAAACATTGAGACAGATAAATCACAGTTTTAATTAGTTTCCAACCAAACTTTGTGTGCCATACTACCATCATGGTATATATTATCAAAAAGTATGAAAATATCATCATAAATATTTCTGAAGGCTCTAGATAAGTTTTAACCACATGTAACGTGTCTACTTTGAAGCTACATGCAATAAATCTTGAGAAGGACGCCAAATGTCTGTCATATTGAGACTTGTACATTTATAAACTTATGGTAATTTTGAATAGAATATAGCGTAGCGAGTTCGTTCCCTTTATGATATAGTCACTATGTGGTTGAAGTGTAATACGAGCCAGAGGCGTANAGTGTAATACGAGCCAGGGGCGTATCAAGGTGAGGGCGTAATGGGCGTACGCCCCCCTTTTCAAAAAAAAAAAATATCGTCATCTGCTACAGTGTAATATTGTATTGAATATGGCAATTTATCATATTAATTAATTAAACACATACTCTGATTTCTTTTTATACTGATTCCCCCATCCTGACTATTGAAATGTTAAGTAACGCCTTATACCCTAGAATTTGGAATTTCTCGTTATTGGTCTACTGCTGTTAAGATTCATCCAATCATTTTAACATACCATAGACAATTAATGGAGAGAATTCGGCATAAAAAAATGTCAAACCCTGACACTTTTACTATAAAATATACATGCTCCAAGTCAGGAACCGTTACATTAGTGCATTTCACAATTATTTTATGTTTTTTAGCAAAAAAAAAGGTCCAAAACATTTTTCGCCTCGCTCCGCTCGGCGATAAATTTGATTCTACGCCCCCTCTTTCAAATATCCTAGAAACGCCCCTGCGAGCCATATTAAACCATTCTTTTAAACAGCTTCGACAATTATATATCTGTCTCAAATGCGTAAAGATTTGTACGGTGAAATATTGCTCCGTGAAATCAGCTGATTAATGATCACTTATAAGTGTTTTTTTGTATTGTAAAACGCTTTTTTCAGGGGCTAGTTCTGGCTTGATATGGCGCTACATGTACTGTACGTAAATACCAAATATCCCAAAATGAAAAGAAATAGAAAAAAATATGTTATATGTTTGAGCATGGTGGATTTAAACAAGAAACGAAATAGGAGTAGACTTACGCTTATATTTATCTATGACTTTAACTTTACATTGCTTATTCTGTCGAAGGCGTTCGTTTTAAATTCCTTTACTGCGAGTTGGAGAACAGTTAAGCCTCGGATTAAAAGCTAGCCTTACATGTCTATACACTGAAGAACCCTGAGTGCCTCTATTGATTGTAAAGGGCTAAGTCTGGTGTTTGTGTTGGCCTAGTGCTACGGTTCAGTATTTAGGACACTGCCTACAGGTATGTTGTGACGAACGACTCAGTCGTGTTCGGTAGACATGTATGATACCTACATTTGTATACATTGACTGTTTTATATACATACTAAAGTTATGTGATTTGCTTTCATGACGATAATTAATGATAAGCGCCATTCTTTGTCAGATGTGATGTACGTCACCTGAAACACTGATGTTATAGAAAAGTACATGTCGTATATATATATGTAATGCATATGAATATGTTGATCGCATTGTCGTAATTCTGATTTGCCATTATACATTTATACAGTATATAATAGATTATTATGGCAAGTTGTAAACATAATATGCACAATTTAATTAATATTGAGGAAAATAGAGAAACTGTTATATAATGATCGCCTATATATTTACTACAGGAAAGGGGAGTAACTGCTACACAAACAAGCAAACGTATTGGTGGCACTTCACTATTTAAATTGCTTATATACTACAACTAGCATCAATTTAGTTTGTTGTTGTTGTTGTTGTTGTTTTGTGGGTGTGTATGTGTGTTTCTAAAATACTGACCTCTAACCACTAGCATTTATTATAAACATATATACAGTTTGTATGTCTTTTATAAATTACACTACACAGGCCAGTCATGCCTGTTGTGCGGGTACCTGACGAAGCAGGACACACCCTGACACTCCTAGAGGTGGACGGTACCTACCGGGCCACCAGTAGATCGGTACCCGGCCACGAAAACGAGATCAGGTCTATACCAACATGGCAGGCACGTGATGATGACGTTCTGATTTGTTCCTATCCTAAATCTGGTGAGAATGAAATAAAGATATAATATCTAAATACAGCCATGTTGCTCTATTCATGTATGAATTAAAGTCAATAAACAGAAAACTGAAAATACAATGACAGGGTGTTACATACTGTATTTGGTTGGAGCTAGAGTTCTACATGTGTATGCGTGCAGTCCTGTACAACTTATTGTATAAATATAATAATATCAGTGATTTACATTTTTTTTTATGAATTCCTGACGGCGGTTCTGTATGAGAATCTTTGTACTTTCCCCGTTTACAGATAAATATTAACAATTAGCGATTGCGATATACCTCGAGTTAGTTTTTTCGGGAATTAACAATAAATACAAACGAAACTTAGGTAAGACTTTCATCTTTTTTTTTTTGTGTTAACCTGCGAAAAGAAATAAAACCACTTTACCTATACGTATTCGACTAATTGATAAATCTGATAAAATTTAAAGTCATTGTCCAGAAAATAGATTGTATGGGTTTGTTAGTGTGGAACTCTCTGGAAAAGAAGATGAAAAAGTCATGTTAAAGTATAGCCAAACAGTTCAACTGTAGTTTCTGACATATGCAGTAATTTCTCCGTTACTATATGTTCCATGACTATGACACGACTGAACCGGATTATTACTGTACCGTTCACCGGGTAACTAAGTTTGCTAGAGCAACCATATTTTAATCGGAGGTCAAGAGTACGAATCCTGGCCTGGCCTTTTTACAATATAAGTGTCAGAACCGCGTTGCTGGGCATTTTATCTTTAATAAATTTCCATTGAGGTTCCGTATATTGTGTTTCTTTTTAAAAATGATTTATTAAAGTTTTTACATTTCGGCAGAAAGGTTTCCGATTACAGCTTTTAGCAGCGGTACGGGGATCCTAACGTGTTTTTTTCTCTCTTCAGAATAACAGGAGAGTTCTTTAAACACATCTCATGCATATGACGGTATTAAATAAAACAGTGCATTAGGAACGCCATTAATTTTCTTGTATGTCAAATGGACATCTTTTACTATCATTGCTACTATACATAATTAACAAAAGTCCCATGAACTTGCTTATCCGTTTAATCCCAGGAACACATTGGATATGGGAAGTAGTGTCCATGCTGATGAGGAGTAAGGCCGAACGAGTCCCTGGTGTCAAAGAGTCGGCCATGTTGGAACTGATACCGCAATCCCGGTTTGATAACCTCCCGTCTCCGAGAGTTCTCAACACCCATCTCCAGTACGGACAGGTGCCCAAAGACATGCTCAACCGGAGGTGTAAAATACTTTACATGATCCGGAATCCCAAGGACATATCCGTTTCCTTTTTTAACCATCACACAAAACTTCTGGATTATGAATTCACGGGATCATGGGAACAATATCTGCCTAGATTTCTTCGAGGAGATGGTAACTTGTGTGCAAATTTTTAAATCAGTTTAAGTTGTTTTGGGATCATAATATGTCAAAACTCGGTAAAGACTATTATATAAATCTCTTATAACCGTCGACACTTCCCGTAAACGAGATGGAAAGTGCTGATGGTTCCCGCTTGTTCGTGATGAGAGAAAAAAAATTTGAACACGGCTGTAAATATTCTCTGGCGCTTTGCTCTTTACATAAGCTTAAACATATTCTATTTTTTTTTACAACTAATCACGCAAAATATATGTCACCTTATTAGATGTCCTATCAATATCACAATATATTTCATTGTCTATATTTTCAGTGGACTGCGGCAGCTGGTTTGATTTCACGCTCAGTTGGGAAAACTTCATCGTTCAAATTCCTGACTATCCAATCCTTGCCGTTTACTTCGAAGATATGAAGAATTCGGTAGGTTGATAAAAATACTTCCTCGGGAAAATAGCGTGACGCCCAGAGTCGCGTCCCTTCCCGTAGGGACGTAGTTTGTCTGCCATGGCGTCAATATTCAGATCAATAACAGATCATTTAGATACGTTTCACACACTAAAAACTTTTCAGACCAAATTCGTAAGAACCTATTTGCCTTAACTACATCTTGAAAAAAAATCGCGATGTAAATATGTTCTCATTAATTACTCGTGAATATTTATATGTAGAGTACATAGATATACCTATAAAGCCACTTCCAACGTGAAAATATCCACTTTGTGATGAATTTAAAGAGTCACATCGCGAAAAGTTCGACACGCGAGTATGTCCATTTCACAGTAGTTAGTAAACATTGTTAGATAACAGTTAGCCATGAAACAAACTGCTGAATTAAACGGTTCCTCGGTCGATTAATAACGCTACGTGAACAACAGAAATAAACGAGTGATCGCCATCAGCCATTGTTTGCAAGTCCCTTAACTATGTGGCATACTAAATATATTAGTCCCCTTTCCCTCAGAAATAGATCTCATAACCATGGTACGTCAATGTACGAGTTGTCTGTTGTGGTATAGTGCCTTAACCGTTTAGGATCCGTGTCCCACTGCACTGTGAGTTTTCGTAGATTTACAGAAGTCTTCCCTTAATTTCGTTTCGGAGACGCACCGAGTGATCATGACCAGGGAGCTCTGTCGGTAAGAGGGGTAGCATCAACCTGAAGTCCATGGTTTGAATCCCGGCGTAGCCCCACTTAACTTTTAGTTTCGGAACACTGTTGTTGTTTTTATTTAGCTTTGCCTTTATCATTCTTGTGGTTTGTTTCATGCAAGTTTCGCAGGGGATGGTTTCCTGCTAGAAATGAGTTATTACATGATACGCTGTATAGTCATGTCAGAAAAAGATGTACAATGCATAGAACTACAGTGTCTGCCAGGAGTACGGAAATCCTTAAATACCTTCCCTTTATCAAGTCATCTGTTTGATTTTTATCTTTTTCTATCGATAATTAAATGATAACTCTGCATGCTTTGATTTAATCATTCAATCTTTCCTTTCTAGAACCCGTTACGGGAGATTGAAAGAATAGCGGCCTTCCTGGAGGTACCGTGTGACGTCATGTTCCTAGAGCGCGTGGCCCAACTATGTAATTTTAACGAGATGAAGAGGGACAAAGAGCCATTGGAGGACGCAGAAGACTGGAGGGATGGCAAACCTGATATGTACCGCAAAGGTAACCAATCAGGATAGTGTTAGTTGCAGGCACTGTAAACAAATACCAGAGGTAGCCAATCATAATACGTGTTACTTATGTAAACAACCAATGACATCAGTAGCCAATTGTAAAGCAAGTTACAAATGAACTGGTGCAATACAGCCAATGGTAGACGTGCTTATTATAACAAATGTAATAAAATCAATGACACGCATACATGTAAAATAACATTCCCAGTATATACGCAGCCAATCGTAGCACATGAACAATGTACTTACGCCATAAAACAGTGACAGGTGGCGTAGTGGTTAACGAACTCGCTTTCCACCAAGGGACTCGATTCCCCGATCGATTATGAAAAATGTGTTGGTTCACATGCCCGACCACATAGGCTTTCACCTGGAAGTCCAGTTTCCTACAACAATAACATAAGCCTCTGCGCGCTTCAATCCGGGCCAAGGAGAGTGATTAATATAACTTAGAAAACTTATTTCACAATTTCTGTAAAATAAATAAAGTTATATATCTAAAATGTCGGAACGTAATCAAAACGCGCTGAGAGTAAACGGAATGAGTACATTTGTTAACAGTTATATAAATGCATACAATATGTAAGCATCTCATGATCAGTCGTAACTAGATTAGGTTTTTATCATATGATTGCATTGATATTTAAGAAGCCAGTATATTGAGTTGTCCGACTTTGATGAATGTTTTGTTACTTTCAGGAGTTGTTGGCGACTGGAAAAACTGGTTTACTGTCGGACAAAACGACCTGTTTGACAAAGTCTTCTCTGAACGAATGAAAAACTCGCAAACAAATGTACGATTTTCTTGATCGATATTCAAAATAAAGAGCTCGCGTGACACATGTCGACTGGGTGTACCGACAGCTCGGCCATAGAATTGACCAATCTACGTCATCATGACGTATATCGCTTCATATGTAGGCAATGTACATGCAGGTGCATGAATATGTTTTTAGCAATTAGTTTCAGAGATATCGGTATTATCACTACTGATACGTCACAAAGTAAAACTATTCGAGATGCACGGCCAGCACTGGATAGTTAACGATACAGTTAATAATCCCCGCCGATTACTGGTGTTAATGTGTTTTCAGGGTAATATAATTGCCTATTAAATGACAGCGTTTTTGGTTTTTTGTTATTCATGTTTTTCAATAGAAACTACCAGCACTGTCCCCGTACATACTTATACTGTACATTCACATATAACGTACAAGTCATGATTTTACAGATTTATTTAAATGTCTACTCAGTTGACTTATGAACCTTCCCTGAATAGGGGGCCTTCTGCTGTTACCAAAACCTACCATTTATTTATTATACAATTATGGACTTTTGTGCTGGTGAATATGATGCGATATATTTACCAGCACAAAAACCCATAATTGTTTTATTATATGCTTCAACAATAAGATACAAAGAAGTCAAGGTTCTCAATGTAAAGTTTCGCCAGGGTTGAATCCAACAGTTCGGCATCGTAGCTTTCGAAACTATCGTCAGGGTTATTTCCCTTAAGATAAGCGTGGAGGACACGCACTGTATGCTCGGTTGCATTTTTGTGTTAACATCATCTTTATCTTCGAGTCGTTTTTGGACATTTTTCTGAGTTTCTTCTGTTGTTGTCTGACAGATCGTGTTCCGGTCCTGTTACCACTAAATACTGACCCTGTTACCACTAAATACCGGTCCTGTTACCTCTACATACTGGTCCTGTAACCACTAGATACCGACCATGTTACCTCTAAATACTGGTCCTGTAACCACTAGATACCGGCCATGTAATCACTCGATCTCGATCCTGTAACCAACAGATACGGGTCCTATTACCATTAAATACTGATCCTGTAACTAATAGAGACTGGTTCTGTTACCACTAAATATCGGTCATATTACCACTAGATACATGTCCTGTAACCACTAAATACTGGTCCTGTTGACACTAGATTCCGTTCCTGCTACCATTAAATACTTGTCCTGTTATCACTAGATACCGGTCCTGCTACCACTAAATACTGGTCCTGTAATTACTAGATACCGGCCATATACAGGATGTAACCATTACATGTATGTACCGACCTTGACAACTAGATACCGGCCATGTAATCACTCGATTTCGGTTTTGTAACCACCAGATACGGGTCCTGTTACCACTAAATACTTGTTCTCTAATCACTCGATAACTGTCGTGTTACCACGATATACTGGTCTTGTTGCCACTAGACACCGGTCCTGTTACCACTAGATACCGGTTCTGTTACCACTAAAAAACTGGTCATGTTACAGCTAGATACATGTCCTGTAACCACTAAATACTGGTCATGTTACCACTAGATACCGGCCATGTAACCACTAGATACCGACCTTGACCACTAGATACCGGTCATGTAATCACTCGATTTTGGTCCAGTAACCACCAGATACCTGTCCTGTTACCACTAGTTACTGATTATGTAATCACTAGACGCAAGCCATGTAACCACTAGATACCGTCCTTGACCACTAAATACCGGCCATGTACAAAATGTAATCACTCGATTTCGGTCCAGTAACTACCAGATACCTGTCCTGTTACCACTAGATACCTGTCCTGTGACCTCTAGATCCTGGTCCTGTTACCACTAAATATTGGTTCTGTTAACAGAAGATACCGGTCCTGTAATTACTCGATACTGGTCCTGCGACTACTAAATATAGGTCCTGTTACCACTAGATACCGGTCATGTTACCACTAGATACCGGTCCTGTAACCACTAGATACCGGTCATGAAACCACTAGGTACCTGTCATGTAACCACTAGATATCGGTCCTGTAACCTCTAGATATCGGTCATGTTACCACTAGATACCGGTCCTGTAACCACTAGATACCGGTCATGTTACCACTAGATACCGGTCCTGTAACCACTAGATACCAGTCATGTTTCCACAAGATACCGGTCCTTTTACCACTAAATACTGACCCTGTAACCACTAGATACTGGTTCTGTTACCACTAGATACTGGTCCTGTTATACATTTACCATAAGATACCGGTCATGTTACCACTAGATACCGTCCTGTTACCACTTAATACTGATCCTGTAATCACTAGATACCGGTTATGTTACCACTAGATACCGGTCCTGTAACCACTAGATACCGGTCATGTTACCACAAGATACCGGTCCTGTAACCACTAGATATCGGTCCTGTAACCACTAGGTACCGGTTCTGTTACCACTAGATACCGGTCATGTTACCACTAGATACCGGTCCTGTAACCACAAGATACCGGTCCTTTTACCACTAAATACTGATCATGTAACCACTAGATACTGGTTCTGATACCACTAGATAATGGTCCTGTTATACATTTACCCCAATATACCGGTCCTGTTACCACTAGATACCGTCCTGTTACCACTTAATACTGATCCTGTAACCACTAGATACCGGTCCTGTTACCACTAGATCCTTGAATCGTTACCATTAGATACCGAACGTTTTAACTCCAAATACTTGCCATTTTACTCATTTAAATATCGGACTAAGTTACAAATGTTATGATAATATCTATTTAAACTGCATAATATTTCATGTTAAAGTCAAAACAAAAATAGCAAATGAACTTTCGGTTTACAATACATGTTTTTTTTCGTATTTAGCGTGCAATGTCAGTTTTAAGACATTAATTATGGTGTATTTTATAGTTGACGGTGTTTTTTTCTACAGTTGGAAAGATGATGAAAACATACGTTCATATATTATGCAACTCCTTTATATATTTTGTTTTATGATCTGGGACAGATAATAAATGCATATTTTAAAACACACACGAACATGCTCGAAGTGTAATCTAAATGTTGAGAAAGCATATGGCCCTGCATTCGTACACGTCGTGTTTGTACAGTGGGAGCGATGATAAGATATGCGGGTGACTGGTGTGTACAAAGTGTCAAGCTGAGGTAAGCCTAGGGTCGACCGAGGATACTGGAAAAACAAGAGGTTCGAGGGGCCCGTACCCGTACACCTGTATTTTATTTTCGTCTTGCAATGTCATTAGGTGTTACTATTTTAGTAGCGATATAAACAGTACGAATTTAATCAGCATATATCTCGAGGCATTTTCTGGTGTATACATGTTAGAATTATCATGTATACAAGACGTTTCAGAGGCTATAGTCAACACCAGGCAAAAACTTAAATCCCCAAAGATTGTGTTTATTCGAGTATACATGTACAGCAGGTAGCAGTTAGCAATTTTGTAGAACTACAATTAAAGAACATATACGTACGCACTTCAAAAATGTGTCAACACTTCAACTGTATTTTTGTTTTACATCATGTGGTAAACAGCAGGACGTTCCAGATTTTACCTTTTTATTTAACTCGGAACGTCAGCTTGAATAAATTATTATTAGTGGATGGTTGTACTATGATACCGGTAATAGGTACATTGTTTTGTTATATTGTACGATCTTTGGTTGATGAAAAACGCATCTGACAGTCGTTATTATGGTACGGTTGGTGACGTGTAGACCTAATATTTAAGTATTAGTTACACAATTATTCTAACCGGCCTCTCCCCACACTTATCTCAACTTTAATCTTCCAGTACAGCCTTCCCCGTCGAGGGCCCCCAACCACAGCCTCGATTTGCGTTTGGTTCAGCTACAGCGCAGCACCAGTTTGGTAAGTTACTCATTGTATGTTATCAAGTTGCGATCTTGCAAGAAGTTTTATTCACATTACAGTTATTGTTTTGCCTTCCTTACCAACTTTGTTGTTGATCCGTACAGCTACCGCTTAAGTTTTATACATGTATATAAACGACCAATGTATAATCCAACTGATAATGTCCCATATATATATGGCTATAGTAATTCGTGTACAGACTGGCCATATCTACGGGGCACCTATCATTATTTACCAGCGCTAACATACGAAAGGACAGGTCAGGCCGATACGTCCGCCACAGTGCCCAGGAACGTCCCAGAATACGACCACTAATATCGTACACTTACACATTATACTATAGTCGGCTTCTAAAGGACAATGATTCAATGAGAATCTTTTTAAGTTGAGGTACACATTGCGTACTTCAGTCAGGTAGTGTATACACCAATATCGTCAGTAAGCCTATATAGCTTTAAATGACAGTTACGCCGCGCAGTGCATAAAACGGATTTACGCCGCGCAGTTCATAGAACGGATTTGTAAATAGAAAAACGCTGTCATTATTTCGCAGCATATCAGCCTTCAACATGTCCTTAAAGTTTCTTGTTCCACTGCAGATAAAACGATAGAGAGTTCCACATTTTTTTCATAGTTCCGCTCCTTAGGGTCGTTTTAGATATAAATGCAGTAGGGATTTTGCTAGAGAACTACCGATTAATCAGGATAATATGACCGGAGGTCGAGGGTTCGAAAATATTATCATGAAATCCAAACAATATTGAATGAATAGGGATCTACAGTCTTTAAACGTATGGTCTAAAACTTGGTTGGTAACATTTAATCCAGACAAAACCGAGGTGATATGTATTTCTAATTCTATCGATCGACATAGATGAAGATTTTAGATTTGAAATTTGATGGAAAAGACTGAAATTTTACAGACCATCATAATTAGCATCTGGGAGTAGTTTTTAATTCAAGCGCAAAGTGTGTGTGTGTGGGGGGGGGGGGGTAGAATATGGGAGGGTTGTACTAAATTTGAATCAGAAATATTAGAGAAAGCCCAAAGAGATGCTGCTCGAATTATATCCGGTCTTCCTTCATATGCCCGTACATTTTAAAACAGGTTTAGAAACTCTTTCTAATCGTTGAAAACGTAGAAAAACTCCAACTTTTATATAGAATGCAAAACAACCTAACTCCAGATTATTTAAACGATCTCCTGCCACCTACTTTTGCAGAAAATAACAGGTACACTCTTAGAAATAACAGTGATTATAGAGTTCCTCTATTTGGGACTTTTCTTACAAATCTTCCCTTTATACCTTCCACTCTTCGTAGCTGGAACTCGATAGATCTATTAGTACGATCGTTGTCCTCTTTACATTTATTTAAAAACTCTCTTACCTCAAATGTACAAGTATCCCCTCCTATCTACTTCAGTTTTGGAGAACGTAAATTAAATATTATACATACTAAACTGAGGCACAATTGACGTTTCCTTAAGTATGACCTTTACAGATTTAATCTTGTCGAGGGTCCATTTTGCATCTGTGGACATCCATGTGAGAATACCTGTCATTTTTTCAACATTTTAGCAATGAAAGGCGTATTTTGTTTCAAAATTTGAATGCCTTAGGTATAGATTTAAATTTAAAGATTCTTTTGTTTGGCAATCCAATTCTTTCTGTAGACCTTAACTCTTACGTTTTTATACATGTGCATAACTTCATCAAATCCAGCAAATGATTTTGAATGGTGCTTTTTTAAAGTTGTGTATTTGTACCTGTATGAATTTGATATATATATCTACTTCATGTTTATGCCTATTATCATTGTTGACATGTAATTGAAAATGTATGACGGGAGAAGGCTGTGATCAGTTGTGAAAACAGGTGCCCAATCCTTTGTTCAATTTTATTGGCAATACATATGTTTAAAGTAAAGAGGGTTCGAACACATGGACGTGGGTATCGGTTACAGTTGGTATTTGTGACCTATCCTGTTGGACGTGTGTATTGGTTATAGTTGGTATTTTTGGACCTACCCTGTTGGACGTGGGTATTGGCTACAGTTGGTATGTTTGGACCTATCCTGTTGGACGTGTGTATTGGTTACAGTTGGTATTTTTGGACCTATCCTGATGGACGTTGGAATTGGTTACAGTTGGTATTTTTGGACCTACCCTGTTGGACGTGGGTATTGGCTACAGTTGGTATGTTTGGACCTATCCTGTTGGACGTGTGTATTGGTTACAGTTGGTATTTTTGGACCTATCCTGATGGACGTTGGAATTGGTTACAGTTGGTAATTTTGGACCTACCCTGTTGGACGTGGGTATTGGCTACAGTTGGTATGTTTGGACCTATCCTGTTGGACGTGGCTATTGGTTACAGTTGGTATTTGTGACCTATCCTGTTGGACGTGTGTATTGGTTATAGTTGGTATTTTTGGTTATAGTTGGTATTTTTGGACCTATCCTGTGGACGTGGATATTGGTTATAGTTGGTATTTTGGACCTATCCTGTTGGACGTGGGTATCGGTTAAAGTTGGTATTTTTGGACCTATCCTGTGGACGTGGATATTGGTTATAGTTGGTATTTTTGGACCTATCCTGTTAGACGTGGGTATGGGTTACAGTTGGGATTTTTGGACCTATCTTGTTGGACGTTGGTATTGGTTACAGTTGGTATTTTTAGACCTATCTTGTTTGACGCGGGTATTGGTTACAGTTGTTATTTTTGGACCTACCCTGTTGGACGTGGGTATTGGCTACAGTTCGTATTTTTGGACCTATCCTGTTGGACGTGGGTATTGGTTACGGTTGGTATTTTTGGGCCTATTCTGTTGGACGTGGATATTGGTTACAGATGGTATTTTTGGACCTATCCGGTTGCACGTTGTAATAGGTTATAGTTGGTATTTTTGGACCTATTCTGTTGGAAGTGGATATTGGTTACAGTTGGTATTTTTGGACCTATCCGGTTGCACGTTGTAATTGGTTATGTGGGTATTGGTTACAGTTGTTATTTTTGGACCTACCCTGTTGGACGTGGGTATTGGCTACAGTTCGTATTTTTGGACCTATCCTGTTGGACGTGGGTATCGGTTAAAGTTGGTATTTTTGGACCTATCCTGCGGACGTGGATATTGGTTATAGTTGGTATTTTTGACCTATCCTGTTGGACGTGGGTATTGGTTATAGTTGGTATTTGTGACCTATCCTGTTGTACGTGTGTATTGGTTATAGTTGGTATTTTTTACCTATCCTGTTGGACGGGTGTATTGGTTATAGTTGGTATTTTTGGACCTACCCTGGTGGACGTGGGCATTGGTTACAGTTGGTATTTTTGGACCTATTCTGTTGGATGTTGTAATTGGTTATAGTTGGTATTTTTGGGCCTATTCTGTTGGACGTGGATATTGGTTACAGTTGGTATTTTTGGACCTATCCGGTTGCACGTTGTAATTGGTTATAGTTGGTATTTTTGGACCTATTCTGTTGGACGTTGTAATTGGTTATAGTTGGTATTTTTGGACCTATCCTGTTGGACGTTGGAATTGGTGACAGTTGGTAATTTTGGACCTATCTTGTTGGACGTGGATATTGGTTACAGTTGGTATTTTTGGACCTATCCTGTTGGACGTGGGTATTGGTTATAGTTGGTATTTTTGGACCTACCCTGTTGGACGTGGGTATTGGTTACAGTTGGTATTTTTGGACCAACCCTGTTGGACGTGTGTATTGGTTACGGTTGGTATCTTAAGACCTATCCTGTTGGACGTGGATATTGGTTATAGTTGGTATTTTTGGACCTATCCTGTTGGACGTTGGTATTGGTTACAGTTGGTATTTTTGGACCTATCCTGTTGGACGTGGGTATTGGTTACAGTTGCGATGTTTGGACCTATCCTGTTGGACGTGGATATTGGGTATAGTTGGTATTTTTGGACCTACCCTGTTGGACGTTGGAATTGGTTACAGTTGGTATTTTTGGACCTATCCTGTCGTAATACAGTCGTTGATTGTAAGATTTAATCGAAAATGATTTATTGAAATTTAGCTGTGCCATAACGTTAAAATTGGCAGTGGAATAAGGTACCTTTTTTAATAAATGTGCGTCAATATCTATGACACATTTTCATTATTTACTATCAATCATTCGTTAAAAGCTTTTAATTATTTCCAATCATCCGATGTTACAAACCTCCTAGTGAGATATGATATAATACAACACTACATGTTTATGTTTGTAGAAAGGCCAGACGGAACTTTGATAAAGTGTGTAACATGTTTTTTCCGAGTAACATATTATTGCGAGCTTTGATGTTAAATATAAATTCACTAAAATACAAAAATCGATTAAATATCAACTTATCTATGTTTCGCTCCGACACACACGGATTTTCATGGATTAACATGACATCGACATTGTGTAGTTCACATTTTGATCCACATCAAACATTGCTGATTTGTGTGTTGATAGATTTCGGCTGTGGTAACTTCGTTTACTACCGAAGCGTGTCATTTTAAAAGGGAAATGCAATCGATTTGTTAAAAAATGCGTAAACTGCGTGTATATATCTAGTCCAAAATAAACCATAGCAGAATGTTTCAACAGTCAAACGCATAGTTCTTTTTCAAAGGTACAGCACCGCTAAACTTCGCTCTCTATTTCTTTTTAGCAGAATGAAACTTCCATTTCTGTTTTGTCCTACATAATGTTACGGATGTCCCAATGTGCCCCTTTAAAATAACATTTCCTGTCAAATTTTGGCACGCTCCTTCTGCTTTTATGATTATTTTTGTTAAATGTCTTTTTATAAGTGAATTATAAAATCGTTTAGCAAACCAAGTGACGACATAGATCATTATCAATAATTAAGACGAAAACGCGTCTATGGTGTAACCATTACCTCTGACCCAGTCAAACACATAGTCGTCGCCTGGTTAGTAGCCGGAAAACGGCTTCGCGCACTTATACTTGACATACATGTAAGTCTTTGGAATTTTAAATCTGTTTATACCAATATACTTGTAATATTGATGAAATTGTATGATTTCAATTTTAACCGGTTTTTTTCAGCATGGTGAATTTTATCAAAAAATATCAGTTGCTTAACCTCTATACATTTTTGTTATATTCCCTACATTCCCTTTTTACCAAAACCAAAAGTCAAGGGAAAACAATCTTTTTAAGGAAGGGTACGAACTCGATCTAATAAAATGTTCGTCCTTATGTACCAAATTTAGCAAAGCAGGTCACGACCAATCAGATTGCAGGACAATTGTAAGCCATGTTAAAAACATGATTAACCACAATAAAAACGGGACTAGTTGTTTATATGACTGTTTTCTTTCAGTGCCTTTCACCTTCACCTTTAAAGATGCCTTCGAAGAAGTTACCAGACAATGCCGGGACGTCCGTTACGGTAATGGATCTGGACGGCTACTATCTCCCGACATTCAATGAACTGAAAAATCACGAGGAAGAACTGCGCTCCATTCCTGATTGGCAGGCAAGAGATGACGACCTCATGATTTGTACCTATCCAAAATCAGGTATGTTTTGTACATATTTAAAACCAGGGTTATCTCTCGGATGTCGAAAGACATTTTGTTCTGGGGAGCAACCGATCTATCTGATGTGAAGTATTCCTTACCATGGTGTACATTACATTTAACCTATCAATATCAATTGCTCCAGTAAATGGCTACGGTAGCATATTTAGCACCTGGTTGAAAACAATTACAATTATTAATCTGTCCAGAAATATTAACAATCTGTCCAAGTCGAGTTTCGTTTTGTTCTCTCATGTCCGAAGTACGCTTCCGTACATGACATGTGGGCGACTTATGTAGAATGTATCCAATGCATGATAGGATATGTTCTTAGTTTATTTATAACGGACATTGCAGAGATCAAAATTGAACAACTGCTCAGCTAGCAACCATATTGAACTTTCTCTCGTTTTCACTATTTTCTGTCTTTGTTGTCTCCCTTTGTACGGCGAGTGGAACTGGGTGAGGTAATGGAGTGTGTTGTTAGCTGCTTAAAACTCCAAATAACAAATAAATATCAACAGTTTTCAATTTACAAATTACACCATACATATATGCCTGTCTTTAAGACGTACTATACATAAGCAACTGTTATCGATGTATCGTGTTTCATTCTATAGGTACTCACTGGATATGGGAGATCGTTAGTATGCTGGTGAAGAAGAAGGCGGAACGGGTCTCTGCTGTCAAGGAGACGGCCATGCTGGAAATTATGGCAAAAGCTACTCTTGACAACATGCCGTCCCCCCGTGTTCTCAATAGCCACGTGTATTTTGAGTATCTGCCAAAGGACTTTGCCAAAAGGAGGTGTAAGATCATTTATGCGATGCGTAATCCTAAAGACGTGGCTGTGTCTTTTTTCAACCACCATAGTAAAATATGTGAATATGAATTCTCGGGAACATGGGAAAACTACGTCCAAAGATTCTTAAAAGGAGACGGTAAATATTGAGTTTAGGATATCTGTATGTCGATTTTGAGCCATATTGCCATTTACATGTACATAATACATAAATGTAGTCATATGACAATACCATATCGCGAAAAGTTCAATTACGTAATACAACCACGATCCTAGCAAACACTTAAAAAATACATGTATAATGTAATATGGTCATTCCGTTAAAATTACTAGAAAACAATGAAAGATGGATTGATACACGTTCAGTATGTTAAGCATTCTTTTTCTTTATTTTCATGTTGTTATGAATATGATATGACGAGTAGACACTATGTATGAGGCAATCTCATTGTTTTTATACGCATCACATTCCCCTCTCGATATATATATACCGTACGTTATAAGAGGGGTATGTCGTTTCGGAGTGAAGACAGCTCACCATTACTAAGTCACGCGAGACGTGTGCTACACCTTTGTTAATTACCAATGCGTTGAATGCAATACTTTTGTTAAACTGAATTTACGTTGTCTTTAATAATTTCATTCAACAGTCGACTATGGAACTTGGTTCGACTACACGCAAAAGTGGGAAAAATTCATGGCGGACAACCCAGAGTACCCAATTTTTATGACGACTTACGAGGACATGAAACAGGTAACAATATATGGTTCCATGTATAACGTCGACCCGGCGAACGGTGTTTAGTATTACTCCAGGTGGTTTTAGGCCTTCTATCGTTATTTTTAATATGGTAGTTTCACTAGCGATGCTGGTAATTTATAAAAAAAAAAAAAATTGGAAACCACGCACTTAGTCAATGGAATGCCTATATGCTTTACTAGCAAAGAAAAACAATTGTTTGATGAAACCGGATAAGAGACTGGCTCCGTAAGGTAATCTATAACATGAGAGATTAAATATTTTACGAAGAATAATTTTCGTTAATTTTCCTTGATGATTTTGACGAAATGTATCTGCGAACACCAAAACTAATATATGACCCCTCTCCTCCTCCCCAGTTTTTTGTGATAGATGTATGCCTGCTCATGGTCAACAATCTATTATACATGAAAATGTTTTCATTGAAGTTAGATCAGACGAAATATATGCCCACCTTCCTACACCTCTCTCCTCCTTAAACCCAATAAATCTCGTTTCGTCCTCTTTTTAGCATTAGTATCGGATGCATGTACCTTTGAGCCTTGCTTACCAGCTACGACTAATCCGGTTGTCCAACCATCAAGCCAGTATTTAAGGCGACAGAATGACACTCTAAACGTACGATGTTGTCGCATTAGTTCAGTTCACTCACAATGTCACTGAAAGTCTATTGGTACAAAATAATTAAAGGAATTATCAGCACCTAGATGTATACCCCCACGCATATTTTGAAAAGATAATCTTCTGAGAATCGTCTGGTCAGCATCATGTATTGGAATGTTTGTCCCTAACACATGAGTACCACACAACTGATGGTTCACACATCTGTCTGTGTGTTTGTAGGACCCCCTCCGACAGGTGACACGGATCGCCAAGTTCCTTGAGATAGATTGTGACCAAGCTTTCCTCCAGGAGGTCACCGACCTCTGTCAGTTTGACCGCATGAAGAAGGAGAAGGATGCTCTAGGAGAGCAGGTCGACGCCTGGAAGGACGGTGTGCCCGGGATGTATCGAAAGGGTGAGACACCTATCCTTAATATTAAGTGCGCTTCAATGGGTACATCAAGTGGACAACCTCTTAAACAGCTCATTGCTTCTCATCGTTGAGTAAAGCAGAGGTTAACGATTGAAGTAGTGCAATGCAGTAGTTGATCTACGAATTTTTCGAAATCTGAAAACTCCACTCTCGAGACAGGCATCTTCTCTACACTCTTGGCCGAGTATGTCATGATAAAATTGAAGTTACTGCGCCACTTTTGCATATGATTTAAGTATACTAGTTTGATAATTTGATTTACATCAATAGATCGCGTGGCAGAATATAACAGTAAACACACTGGCATTGAAGTGTGATGTCACTTCTTTTTACTCTTCAAATGACAGATATCAGCTTAGCTCTTGCTCATATTTAGCCCACCATTATCAGATGGTGGGTTATTCAAATCACCCTTTTTTCTTGGTCCGTTGTCCGTCCGCCCTTAAACAAAAATATGTTATGCTATTTTTCAGATCATTGTGGAGGGATCTTTCTCACATTTCACATAAAGGTTCCTTATGGGCCCTTATTATGCAAATCGAATTATTATGCAAGATGTGCAATCTTGGATTTTGAGAGTTGAAGATTGTTAGCACTATTTCTAAGAAATTGCAGGAGGGATCTATCTCAAATTTTATATGTATGTTTTCCATTAGTCCCCTGTTAAAATACCCTTGTCCTAATTGGAATTCATCCTTCATCGACAGTTCTGCTTATTATGTAATAATTACAACCTTTTAGCATTTTGCATATAGTTATACAATTCTTACATTGAATAAAATAACTTTTGTCATAGTAACAAATAACATATGACATTAAGAGGTTTAAGTTAATGTACAAGATCCCCGTTTAGGATTTCAAACCTGTTAACGGTTAATAGTATATGTAAAGAAAATGAAGAGCAAATAAAGTAAAATATCATCTTCTGTATATCACATAAAGATCATTTTCTGGAGGGCGCCAAGATCCTTCTTGTTGATAACTGAAATTAATCAAATAGCTAACCGCATGCTTTTTATTTTGTTATAACATATTCAAGAATATAGAGAAGAGATATCAATGGCGGAACCCGTAAATAAATTTCGAAGTTGTATCAAAGATGAAACAAATAACACGTGTCATCATTTTATACCAATAAATCTACCACTTGAATGTTGAATAATACCGAAATGTATATGCAATAATCAAGGATCGGATTTTAACGTTAATGTTTTGAATACTGCAATTTGAAAACACAATATTATAGCTATACATCATAAGGATAAAACACTGCCAATATAAGATTTGTCTCATTGTTTCCAGGACAGGTTGGAGACTGGAAGAACTGGTTTACGGTGGCGCAGAGTGAACTTTTTGATCGTGTTTACCAGGAACGAATGAAAGACTCGAAGGTTCAACCAAGATTTACGTTATCTTAATGATAACACGTGCATATTTTTTATAGACAAGCTACTGATGTTGAGACGGCATTGATTTAATATTGCAAATCTGTTATCAGCTACAATATACGTATACAGATATATGTAATATCCGAGTGAAAAACCTAATATCAACGACAAAATCCCATATACTACTGAATCCATATTGATTTATGTTTGTAGGATACGAATTAGTTAAAATACCTTAATTGGAGGCGCGGTAGTCTAGTGGTAGGACGCCGGGCTCGTGACCGAAGGGTTGCGGGTTCGAGTCACGGCACGGCACTGTGTTGTATCTTTGAGCAAGATACTTTACTCCGCTTGTTTCAGTGTACTCAGCTGTAAATGTGTACGTGGTTGGGTAGTGCTAGAATTGTTGAATGCTAGCTGTTAGCGCCGAAATGGCAGCTTCGGCTGTATGCTCCTCAGGGAGTTGAGAAAGGTATTGGCTGGTTGCAAAGGCCTTAAAACCACGGATGATAATTTGTGAACCGCTTTGAGACGACCTACGATCTAGGTTGTGATAAAGCGGTATAAAGAACCTCGAATATTTATTATTATTATTATTATTATTATTATTATACTTGGAAAATTAAGTAATTGCAACTGTAATTACATTACGATGTCAAATATAAATTTTGATAACCTTACATAACCACTCTTATGTTTTCAAACTTCCGACACTCATTGGATTACATTGCTACTTTTGTTGTTGTTATCCACTGGTGTCCCAATGAGCATAATATCATTTGTCAACCTTTGAGTTACGTCGTCACATAACCATGCTCTGCTGCGACATTTTCCATTATCACGTTATAATCCACGACAATTTTTCTCCAATCAGAAACAATAATCATGCTCATTACTGGTGATTACTGGTTATATTGTTCACCTTGCTCTAATTAGTTAATTTTCATTTTTTGAAACTTAACCAACTCGATCGACTTAGGGAACTTGTATGTTTACATTGTCGCAAATGTTTCCTTGCCTCATAAATAATAAAAAGTATAATGTTGCCTCTCTAAATAAAGGCAAACCAATTATTATGTTTCTAGTAGGTCTTGATGGAAGGAGGTTGTGTCAAATTATGTCTACATTAGTGGCATGGGTCATGCATATATTTTATCTTAATATTTATGTATACTGTAATGTTTATTGTGATGTATTGACACTAAATCTGTTTTGTATTAACATAATCATGTATTTTGAAATAGTAATTTTGGTGCTGTTCGTTACGTCACTACAATGGTTTCGTCAAAATCATAACGTTGGAGACAGCTGGCTGCTAAGGTATAGTTTCTATTTGTCTTGTCTGTTCAATGTACTGAGGTTTACCCACAGTGTGAAGAACAAAACCGAGATATACTAAGATTAGATTTCACCAATCATAACTGGTCGACGTCTTCTCACGTGTAAGATTCCCGTCTTTCCCGATCGAGAGGTTCAGCGCAACAGGCTTGGGAATTTCAATATATAAGTTATCTTAAGTAAGGCAAGGTCGGAGGTTCAAAGTTATGCTACTGAAAATTGTTACAAATGATATAATATTTTTTATATAGAAACGCAGTTCCTTTATTGGGGTTATCATGTGTATATGAATTAATTCTTATGAAATATTTATGATGATAAATAAATAAAATCACTATATAAAGAAGTGTTCCTTGACCATTTCTTACATTCCATTGTATCACCTTGGACAAATATTATATACTAAATCTATCAGATTTGCAAATTCCGAAATCAAATCAAAGCACGTAGCTTTATGGTACGGAATAGAGCGATTCATGGACATTTTAACTAAATTATTTCAAAACATGTATATTTAATTTTTTATACTTTTGCATTTGTTAACGGCATATGCATTTATACATATATAGTTTTGATTAATTAAATACATTTAATAATTATATATGATCATTTCAAAATTGATCATCTAACTTGACATGACTGAGGACACTAAGGTAATCTTGTAACGAAAACTGATTTCTAGAAATACTGTACCATATGCATTCATATCTCAAGTGTTTTGAAACACTGAACAGAGTGGGCGTGTTCGCAGGAGCGTTCTATGTGATGCACTCTGATGTGACTTCGTTATCATTTTAACTCGCACAGACGATTTTGAACATATGGTTTTGTACTTATCATTACTAACCAACAGAGAAATGTAGGAATATTCCATCTTTAGATAGAAGTACCGCATGCATGAATAGTGGGCCGCACTTATCATTCCTAACCAACAGAGAGACGTCGGAATATTCCATCTTTAGATAGAAGTACCGCATGCATGAATAGTGGGCCAATCGAGATAAATGATATCGAATTGGTTTTCCCACAATTCTCTTACAAAGAGGTTATAGATTTTACAGTCATTTGATCCACATGGATGTCTTAACTAAAGGTATTCCTGCCCTGAAAATATTTTCATTTCTGATTTTAAAACAAGATGACTACATCGTTCACAACGTCTTCTGAAGTATTCCCACACTGACCATCTATAACTATGAATTTATCATCCTACAGGTATGTTTTATAGAGAGGTATATACACGATACATATTATTCATCGACCCCTAAGTATGCATTATACACGTGACACATATCTATATCTATATATGTTTATCGGATGTCGCTCTGATGCAAGACGTTATTTTAATACAAGACGTGAGGTCATTAAATTATCATTTAATTCAGCGGAATATTTTTCCCGCCAAAACACATTCTGCAGCTGACATCACTCCATGGAATAACTGATGTGAAGCATTTGCATACCGCTTAAAATGGAAACTTATGGTAAAGCATTCTTCTATCAATCGAAATATATTATCGGTTAATTAGTTTGGTGTCATAATAATATAACATTAGTGGACAGAGAGAATTCCGTCTTTGTACCGTGTAACTATTTCTGCACGAGATACTGTGATGCTAAATGCATGATTGCGAATGACGTATATATTATCCTATAGGATTTAAATATGCATTATCATTCATTGTCCAATTAACAATATATGTATCTCTCTCGCTAGTGCACATAAACACATACAATGCATAATTAACGTTGACAGGTAACATACATATATTCAGGTTGTTGCAATATTGTACCGACAAATTAAATTAATGTTACATAAACAGTTAGGAGACAAGTAGATGAATAAACAGGTGTTGCAATGGGACAATGAAATACCGTACGTTATGTTATCATACAGCATTAGATTGGGAAGGTATGTTAATTTGTTATTCAGTACGTCTTTACATACCACTCGTCGAGGGCCCCAGTAACCAATTGACGCCAAGTACAGCAGGTTGGTAAGTTGCACATTGCGTTCTTTTTTAAGGACGCTGCTTCCTTGAAAATGAGGTTCATTTGCATTGAATATATATTAATATTATTTTTGTTAACATTTGATTAGTGTACAGCAAAAATGTTTTATAACTGCTTGGGCTCATAATACATGTCCTGAGAGGATTTGATTATGTTATATGTCTAAGATGTCATCTTCAGCCATACTTGTTATCTGTATCTGGAACATTCGTGAGTATCTGCCACCGCTGTGTATACTGTAAGCCTCTAGCCGAGGACTGCCACAAACATACTACCACTACCTACGAAATGTGAACAATGTAATGTGTAGCCATCAATCTATATGAATGCTGTTTAGACAGTAACTACTTTTATGTGAAAGTTTTAGGTGCATATACTAGAACATCAGCCAATTTATATACTGATGGCTTCAATAGATATGTTACTATATTTAAAACCTCCTCTTTAATTTTTAGAATGTCGGGTTGAGTAGTGGTAGGAACTGAGGATATTTCTTTGCTAGGCGATTATGTGTCTTAGGTCGTGATTTGATGCCCAGAGAGGAAATGGATCTTACTTGGTCACTTGAATTTCTATGATATTTATCCAATTGATAAAACATTGTATCATACACATTGATTTATGTTGATGCGAAGGTTAAGACATAAACTACCTGTCGAAAAAGTACTATGTTTAACATGTACTAATATTTGTACGATTTGTTTCCATGCATACATTATACATTGCGGTCGAGGTATTTGTAACTGTACAGTTGTTCATTGTTAGATGTAAGTTATATTGTAGATTAGAGTAAACGTAACCGCTCTTTGTTTACATGTACTCGCTGGACTTGTTTAGAGGAGTTTGCAAGATTGTAAGTTTTATCGGACGTGATATCGGGATTACGTGTAATGATTGGTTTAAGGTGGCTCAACACACCACGAAAATTTGGATAAAACCCATTGAAATCTAACTATTGTGTTTCCTATAATTACCCAATACAAATACACTGACCAATATATCAGGAAACTTAATTATAATGTTTGTGTGCAATGTACATATTTGATTTGTTTTACGTACACATCGTTTGAGTTCATACGATATTACAATTTCTTAAAAAAGTAAGTTTTCCTTTTTCTTTTACGAACCAACATTACTAGCAACTTTTGCATCCTACTTCAACTATCCTTTCAACAAACCTTTGCGCATACTTGTATGGAATTAGACGATGACATTTCATACCCAAAAGAAATAAAACAAAGACAACATCACTTATATAGATAAATTATTGCATCTTAAAGAATTAATTTGTTTGGTTTTATGGGATTAGCGTCCTACAAACAGCTGAAGTTATTACATGAAATGGGGGTGGCACGTTACATGAAGCACGTGCGTGCATGCTGGAGGTGGTATGTTAGTCCTACCTCAATGATGTCGCCTATCTCAGTACTCCACCAAGTGTCATTACTCTGACATCGTGTAATTAGTTTGTTTTGTTAATAAGTTCAAATTTAACATAATCATACTTAATGTAATGCAATATTCATCAATACCCTCTAACTCACAATGTAGCTTCGACACATGTCAAAGGAAAATGACACAGAGGAGTCTGTGGCGTCTAATACCCTCTAACTCACAATGTAGATTCTACACGGGTCAAAGGAAAATGACGCAGAGCAGTCTGTGGCGTCTAATACCCTCTTACTCATAATGTAGTTTCTACACATGTCAAAAGAAAATGACACAGAGCAGTCTGTGGCGTCTAATACTCTCTAACTCCCAATGAAGCTTCTACACAGGTCAAAAGAAAATGACACAGAGGAGTGAGTGGCGTCTTATACCCTAATACCCTCTAACTCCCAATGAAGCTTCTACACAGGTCAAAGGACAATGACGCAGAGGAGTATGTGGCGTCTAATACCCTTTAACTCATAATGTAGCTTCTACACATGTCAAAGGAAAATGACACAGAGGAGTCTGTGGCGTCTTAT